CAAAGTGAATTAAATAAGCGAAACATAATGATGATTAAACCTGCACATCAAAAAAATAATTTTGATATCACGTCAAAGTGGATGCACTACAATCATGTCGAAAATATGGTGTAATATTACTTGCTAAAAAGGACAAAATTATCATTAATACAATGCATGAACTGACATTACGCTGCTTTTACTGCATTTGTTTATTTATGTGGTCATAAAAATTACATGAAATTTTCGACATAATTGTAGTGCATCCACTTTGATGTGATATCAAAATTATTTTTTTGCTGTGTGAAATTATACCTAATGATTATCTGCGGTCGAAAATCTTTTAATCTTAATCTAATCGATCAATTAATTAAAGAGAAATTCAGTGGGGAGCTGCAAGGAAATATGGATAATAATTCCAGAGGAAAGTAATTCTTAATAAATCTCACAATATTTTTTGTTGAATTTTAAACTAGATTGAATATAGTTTCAAGAGAATTTCTAAAATAATTTATAAGAATTTTAAGAAAAAATAACAAAAAGGTTTGGGAGGGTTTGGCAGGATTTTTTGCATTTTTTTTTTTCAATTACAGGGCTGGTAGCGATCACTGCTGTCAGAAATAGTGATTTTAGTGACCATGTTGCAGAAATAAGTGACCAAATAATGACTTATAGTTGTAAAAATAGTGACTAAAAAGTGACCTAAGAGAAGGCGCATCATATAAATGTTTGATGTTTTAGACTTATTCAATTATTATCTAATAAACACCTATGTACGATATGAACCTTTAAAGCGAAAGGTTCAATAGAAAGTTTATAACCAAACCCACGGTATTAATCACGGTGTCTACTAACTTCAAAAATCTGGATAACCGGAAATGCTCAGGATTTATTCTTTCCCTAAAATACCTGGAAGTCTCAAAGAATTTAATTTTTTTCAGAGTTGGTTGGAAATGCTAACATGAAGCTTTAGTGTGATGATTTATTAGCTAGAGAATGATCTTTAGAAGAGGGTAGGTGGATAGTTCCGTTAGAGTACGGCAGTATGAAAATTGAATAGAAGTTGAAAATGAGCGAAGGGCCATTAATGCGACAGTTTTTATAGATAGACGCACATTTTTGCCTAACCCGTACGATGTACGCGGGTACTTGAAGTATGTCTCCAAGTCCACAGGCAACGTCGCTAGAACTATTCCACAGCCGCAGTCAGTTTATGAGCAAAAAGAGGGACGCACATACGTGCCGTACGGGTTAGGCAAAAATGTGCGTCTATCTTTAAAAACTGTCGCATTAATGGCCCTTCGCTCATTTTCAACTTCTATTCAATTTTCATACTGCCGTACTCTAACGGAACTATCCACCTACCCTCTTCTAAAGATCATTCTCTAGCTAATAAATCATCACTCTAAAGCTTCATGTTAGCATTTCCAACCAACTCTGAAAATCGTTAACTTCGCGTATGAAGTAACATAAAAACACTTTGAATGTTAATTTTTTTTGTTTTTTGTTTGTTTAATGGATGTTTTAAAGAAAATAATTGATTTTAAAATATAACCATTAAATATTTCTCGTTATTTTCATTCACACTTTGAACTTTAACATTCACAGTGGATTGGTCTTCAGTAAGGAATAATTTAAAAAAAAATATATATTTTGTTTGGTTTCTGAAGACCACTGTCCTTCTGTGAAGTTTTTCTAAATTTATGGAAGTTTTGTTCTCCCGGAATTTTCATGGAATTAGAACGAAATAATTAATAGAACTAGAACTAGAACTAGAACTAGATTTTCACTGAAGTTCTCAAATTTTTTTTTAAGTTCATAAAACTTCCCTTAAATTTGCGACACTAATTTAAAACTTCTTCAATAGTCCAGACGTTCCGGGTGCCTAAACGATTACTGAATTTCTTTAAAGTTTTCTAGACTGCCCTGAATTTATCAGTATTTTTTAAAAACCCGCAACTTTACTGAAATCAATTAATTTGCCTTGAAGTTTCGAAAATGTTCTTCGATTTTCCCTGAACTTATCTATGCTTACCTGAAGTTTTCTAAATTTGGTCAATAATCCGGCATAGAATTCTTGGAATACCCTATAATTCGACTAAACTCCTTGTAAGTCGCTGCAAATTTCCTTAAGTTAATGGGATTTCTGAAGCTATCTGATCGTCCTCGAAGTACTCGGAACTTCGCTGAATATCCTTAAACTATTTAAAAATATCTAAATTTGCTTGCTAAAAGTTCTCGGTTTTTTATTAATGGAACTTCGTTGATTTTCTTTAATCAACTTAGCTAAATTTTTTTAAGTTCTTGAAATATCCATGATATTACATCCTTAAAATACTCTCACGTTTTCCGGATGTTCATAAAATTTCCAGGAATTTTCTCGGAGCTTTGCTGAAGTTTTCGGAAATTCACTGAGTTTCTCGAAACTTCTTTAAGGTTTCTAATATTTCCTTGAAATTATTTGAATTGCCCTTTGATTCTCTGACCAGTCTTGATGTTCTCGAAGCTTCCATAAAGTTCTTAGTTCTATTGAAGATCTGGTTCTGCTCGGAAATAAATAGAATTCCCGTAAACACCTTTAAATTTCCCTGAAATTATGTGGGCTTCTGTGAATTTTCTGAAATATATCTGAAGTTTTCATAAATTCTCTGAAGGTCCTTGTACTTTCCATGATATTCGCGGGACTTAAGGGCTCTCGATTTGTTTTTCAGCACATCATGGAACTATCTTGAATTTATCTAAATTTTCGATTATAGATTTTTAATCTAGTTAGCTATTCTGAGGTGCTTAGAACTTCTTAAAAATTTGCACAATTCCCCTAAAGTTTTCTAAATTTCTCAAGTTCGCTTGACACCTGTGAAGTTCTCTGAGATTCTAGGAACTTCATAAAAGTTCCCAGTAAGTTTCCCATATTTTCAGCGTGTTAGCTTCCCTTATGATTCTGCAGTTTGTTTATAGAGCTTCACTGAAATTCTTAGCATTTCCTTTCATTCCTCAGAACTTCTCCCAAGTTCCTACAATTGTTGTAAAGTTAATGGGACTGCATCGAAGATCTGTAATCTTCCATAAAGTTAATTACGAACTTGAAATAAAACATTTTTTTGTTTACTTAATTTTGGCACTTTGAATATATTCAATATCTTGAACTTGTACATGGAATACGAAACTTTGAAGATATTGAATATTTTTAGATCTTGGACTGACATACTTGGAAAACTCAGGTAATTTTATCCAGAAAAATGAGTAGACATCCTGTATATAGAGAAAGTCGATTAAACGTCACAACGCAAAGAATAATCAATCTTGAAATAAACTCACGCTAAAAAGTTGAAAATAGTGACTTATTACAAGAAAAAGTGACTTTAGTGACTTGACCTTAAAAAAAGAGACTTTTTAGTAACTGACTTGAAAAAAGTGACCAAGTCACTAAAAAGTGACTCGCTACCCTGCAATTAGTTTATTTGAAAGACTGAAATGTCAAGAGGACTCCACGGAGCCAAAAACCAGTTTTTTTAATATCAATACATATTAATGAGGGACCTCTTCGTCTTTTATCCGCTCCTTCTCAGTATAGTCCATTATCCCGAATTTGTAGTAGTAATACGCGTCGTTCCCTTGATAGAATATGTTCCCCTTCCGAGTGAGGAAATGCAGGGAGTTGGGAATCTCCTTTTTTACGTCCACTTAAATTCCCCGTACACCTGTCAGCATATCAAGTCCCAGGGTAACTGGAAATTTCTCCCGAAATACACTGCCGCTCTTCGCATGTCGGTCCCAAAGCAATTTTTATCAAAACTGAGTTTTACAATGCAAATGGTAGCTGATCACCCATATTTTCACAATACTGGATGAACTCATAGACTTTGTTCTGAAAAAGTTTGGAACGACAGTCAAATTGGTTGTCTCATCACATAAGAAGCACTGGTAAGAATCAAGCTTAAAATGCGATTTTCTCGGCTTGCTGATTTTTGCCATGGGACCGACATGCGAAGAGCGGCAGTACATGCTTTACATCACAGTATTTCCCTAGCACGAATGCTAGATCGCTATCCGCGACTACTGGTGGTAGCTACCTCTAAATCTCGTTTTTCAGATTTGTCGTCATACAAAAGTTCTTTTGTAACATCCTTGGCTATAATTTGCCGTCACGTTTCCAGACAAAGTGCTATTTTGGGCCACCCTAATGAGCAACCATTATAATGCTCTATGGAGTTTTTGTGAGAGGTTTTCGATACCCTCTACCATATACTGACAAAACTTTAGTATCCAATGTAGATTCCAACCGAGAAACTCTGCAAAAAATGACCAGACCTCCACGAAAAGATAGCAAAATCAAAACAGATCAAAACTAACATCTTAAGCCCCTGAACCAATTAAAAGGTTAAATCTCTGGTGCAACGTGGGTCGATCAAATGCACCCAAGAGGGTAATGCTCTGAACGTTTTCCCACTAGTTGCGATACTATTAGAAGCCAAAGCCTTCTAATTCATCAAACAACCTCTATCACTCAGATCACCCGTCAGGCAGGCTAAGCTGAAGCTAACCGACAAATACACCCACCCAGCAATCCACCCAGCTAGATCTCAGTCCAGATGCACACCGCTTCCCTTGATAGCACGAAGAATGATTGCAGCAAAGCGGATTAGGAACAAAAACAAATCAAAATTTTGCACAGTCATGAAGCTCGTTCGCTCGTTCGCCTTCTTGGATCCTATCGAATCCATCGCCAGTCGGAACCGTGTCTTCATTAGGTGCGAGCGATTTTCACGAGTTTTTTTTTCAACGAATAGGGTTACATTCGGTATGAGTTCAATCCGTCAGAATTGTATGAGCAAATAAAAAAAACAATCCGGAATACCCGGAGAATAACACAAACGGGCAAGAAAAGTGCAGGAAGCAAACGAACAGGAGCATATGGCCTCCGCCGAATTTCGAATGTTCAATCAATAATCATGAAAGTGAGAATTTGCTACGATTGCTGGATTTGTAAATATATGGAAGAATTTGATGTGCTTACTCACCTTTTTCTTCCAGCTCAGCTGCTGCTAGAAAGTCTCCAAGAACTACTACGTACAGGCAGGCAGATCATCCCACGATGGCAGAGGAGAAGCTTGCTCGGGCAGGATGGATGGACGAAAATAACGATGGTCGATGACTGGCGAGGAACTGTCGAAACCAGCTGCTGGTCGATTTCGGATGCTTAGATTGCCTAATCTGGATCCACCACGTGGGTGGATGTTACCTAACACCTAACCATTGACCTTACATATGGGTCTCCTCTTACACGGACAGAATCGGAATCAAATTACTCTTCTTCTATGTAGTGTTTGAATTTTGGTTTAAAGACTTCCACTCTTACAGGGACAGAGTGTGTTGGTTGGTGACGAAGTCTTTTTCACCGTCGGTGCGGCAGTAGGAATTTTAATTGGTCACAAGCAAAATCTTGTCGCAGTCGGAATGCTGTCTGTTTCCAATGTTGGGCAAGAAAAAAAAAAACAGTCGAAAAAAACGGCAAACCGGAGGGACATTTTTGGCAACTCGTCTCTCGCCATCTAGCAGCCCAGTAACGTGAGAGTCAGGACTGATTTACATATAAAATAGATATCAACGTAGGGAAAAATAGCAACAACAACAACAACAACAACAACAGAGAACCAGCCCGGAACGATTGGGACAGAGAAAATGCGACACTTTTCCGTCGGCGACGCCGGTTTTCCATCTTTATGTAGCAACGTGAGCAGAGTCTAGTAGAAACCGGTGTTTGAGGCGTGTTAAATTTATAATCCCCTTGCAGCGAAAGAAAAGAACAAACTGGCAAATCGCCAATCGACAATCGCTACGATAGCAGTAGGTGCCTCTGTGCTGGTACTTGCATCAGAGAATGAAAAACGTAGATCCCAAGTGCCGCACTGGCATCGAGGATGATGAGTGCCAGAGGCCAGTTGGGACGAACTGAAAGAGGGCGAAATCTGGTGAGTGAGCTACGAGGTGCAAATTTGTGTCCCATTAGAATGGATCGATTTCCGATTCGACTGCTAATTGAGACTGGCTGACACGAGGAGACTTACATTGTTGTTGATTGAGTTGGATGGTGACTTAGGCGGGTATAAATAGGATCATCGCTCCATATGAAAGCGAAGCGGAATTGGAAATGATACGTAATCTCAACTGCATTGGTACGAGATAGCTGCGTTGAAATGCATCCCGATTGGGAAGCACAACAATCTCATTTGGCAGGAATTCGTAACAGTCCCGATAGGCCTTTTTAATGGGAACTAAACGATCGATTCAACCTCTGGTGGTGAATAAGAGAACGTCAAAAAGAGTGTTGTGAGCATAAATTTTTGCCTTGAGACATAGGAAGCGGAACACTTTTTTACATTTCCTGATAAATTGATTCATCTGAGATGCTGCAAAACTTAATCTACAGTTGAAAAATTTAATTCTGTAACGTTTTGGAAAAGATCCTGCTGGTGTTCAGGAATATTTTTGTTGAGAATAATGAAAAATTAGAAAAGTGCCTTAGTGGTTATGATCTTCCGGATTTCTTGTGTGTGAATTGGCAAATCAAAGTTGGCACTCGTTGAGAATAGACGAACTAAGAAAGTGATGATGATTTCAAATTTTTCCACGGAGAGCTATACGAGTGCAATCTTAAAATGCTTTTATTTTGAAAATGGAGCATTGTATTTAAATCTGGTTGTTGCTACACTTGTAGAAAAGCTAAAATCTATGCATACACCTAAAAATCTGAAAAGAAATTATTTTTCCTATATTATATATCTAATGAGTAGTCCTTAAGTTTTCTACTAACGTAGCTTTAACCAGATTTAAATAAAATTCTCCATTTGCAAAATAACGGCATTTTAAGATTGAACTCGTATACCTCACCGTGGAAAATTTTGAAACCATCATCACTTTCATAGTTCATCTATTCTCCACGAGTGCCAACTTTGATTTGCCAATAGTTAAGGTGCAAATCAGTTCAGATTTGTGGAAAATCGTACAAAAAGACAATTACCGATAGAAATTGGCAAGATTTTGAATGAAAAATGCTGTTATTTGCGTTGGGGAAAATACTTATTCTGATGTAAACAAACGGTTTGGTTGACGTTTCTTCTCGAACTCGCGTGGCGCACTCTACGTTGGTGGTGCATTAAAAAGGCGTATTGGGATTCACAAAAAAACCATTTCGGAATTAAGAATAATTCAGATTGGAATCCAGAAGAATCCCATTTGGGATTCTTAACAATCCAAGGATTCACAAGAATCCTGACAGAGATTCACAAGAAAACTCGATTGGCAGTCACAAGAATCCTGATTGGGTTTCACAACAATCTCGATTGAAAGTTACAACATTCCCGATTGTGATTCAAAAGTATCTTTTCTGGGATTCACAACAATACTAATTGAGATTCACAAGAAACTCCAATGAGAATCACTTTTGAGATCGAGTTCGAATAGTATATGCCGCAAAAATGCTCGAACGATTTGTCCTATTCTAAAGAAATTCCAACCATGCTGCAGCACATCATGCGAGCTGTCTAAAATGACGTTTCCTAGCACTTGACGAACTTTTTCGAGGAACAATATTTTGAACAGAACCTCGAGCAAATAGGGTCTCATTTATGCTAAGCTAGAAAATATGGAGTTTATTGCATAATTTTCTTAAAATCGTCGTCTCAAAACTGCTCGAAAATATGATTAATTCTGTAGAAAACCTACTATCAGCACAGCAACAAACACGAGTAGGGTTCTGAGTGTGAATTTCAAGCAAAATTACGGAAAAATTCAAAAATGACTCTACCGCTGTAATGGAACAGATCATTCGAAACGATTTTCGACAATCGACTACTACTCGAACCGGAAATGGTAGCGCTAATATGCCAAACAAAAGACTGAAAGACTGACAGGCCTAATAGGCTCTCTTCATGCACCATCAATGTAGAGTGCGCTAGCCGAATCTGAGAGGAAATGTCATCAAATCCATTTTTTTACAGCATAATGACGATTTTCAAAACTCAAAATAATGTACATTTTATTGCACAACTTGCAAGACCTTCGGGAGTGGTCTTATTTTTCGATTATCTACAGCTCTGAACTGATTTACAGGTGAAATAACCACATATTAAAAATATGGAAGATCGTAACCGCTGGGAAAATTTTATAAATCTTAATTTTTCTCATCAAAAATATATGGAAGCACCAGCCGGATCACTGCAAACCGGATACAGAAAACAAAATATTACACGTGGAATTTTCCACCCTCATCACTATTTTGAGGGTTCCCCTATTCACCACCTGAGGCTGAAACAATCGCTTAGTTTCTAAAGGCGAATCCAATAGAAACTAAGCGATTGTTTCAACCTCTGACGCTGAATAGAGGAACCATAAAAATAGTGATGTGGCTGGAAATTTTCGCCGTGAAGCATAGGAAGAGGAACCAGGCATACCAAAAGTACCGCCTCATGACAGTATTCCAACGGCTGTCGCTTTCTTTTCCCTACGCCAGCCTTGAGATTGAGCTATAAGCGACAGCCCACAGTGAGGCTGTTATACGACATGCAACGTTGCCGTCTTGTGCAGTACACGACAGCTCGTTCTCAGTCATGTATTTTGTTCGTTCGGCTATGACAGCCTCGGATGGTCATTCGTAACGTTCCTCGTACATACAACAAGCAGTCCGTCGAACTGCCGATTCGTTGCTGCTGTCTTTGAAATTTTGTTTGTGTGTCGTACCAGTGTGGCGCCGGAGCTCGTTCGGTGTTGCTATCACGTTCGTGCTGCCCATTGCAAAATTTTCATCCGATATTTTTTTAAAAACGTGCGGTCTCCGGCGAAAAATATAAGCCTACCCGACACCAACCTGACTTCTACCAAACCCCAACCCGATGTTGGCCCGACATTGACCCGACATAAACGCAAAATTGACCCGACATCGACCCGACATTTGGCCGACGTCGACCATAAATTGACCTTACATTGATCCGACATCGGGCCGACATATCTGTTCGGGATCATTCTTCTGGGTTTCTTCCATACTCCACTGCCGTATATCAATTGTATATAATGTCTCGTGACAGCCACTTGGGTAAGCTGAGGGATGTCGTCGATTTGTGAAGGCTGTTATGACGACAGAAACATTGAGAACCTGGTCATAAAGAATTGTATAAATACAGCCCATTCGGTTCACTACGTTCCAAGCACGATGATTTTAGCAAAGCGGGTATAGATGCGACTGTTCTAATACAGCTTTGATTCGTTCGTGCGTGCGCTGTTGCCAATACACTTCGAATTCAGATCTGAACGTACGGTAGCAAGCGGCAGTAAAGCACACAAAGCAACAGTCAATTTAGGTATAAACCAACTGTCGCGAGGAGGCTGTACTATTTGGAAGCCTGAGAGGAACATATTTTCACCTTTCCTGATTATTTTATCCACCGCAGGTGCTTGAAATCATCATCCGCGTGGAATATTTTGATTTCTGTATCGAGTTTGCAGTGACCAGCCGGATCACTGCAAAATCGATACAGAAAACAAAGTATTTCAAGTGGATGATAGTTTCAGGCACCTGCGACAGATAAATTAATCAGGAAAAGTGAAAATATGTTCCACTTCCTATGCTTCACGGCGACAATGTCCACACTCTTTTGAGGGTTCCCGTGTTCACCACCAGAGGCTGAAACGATCGCTTAGTTTCTCTTGAATTCGCCTATTCACCTGTAACTTCTGAAAAGGGCCTATTAACTTTTGTAAACAATATTTTGTATGCCTTTTGCAAGCGAACCGAAGTGTGAGTGCGTGAGCATGAGTTTCGCACGCGAGTTTATTCTCTCAGAGAAGCTCAATGAATGAGATTTGAGAATGATTTTCCGAACATTGACCGCGTCAGATTGTTTCGCAATTTGGTGTGGAACTGCTGTATGGAAGGAAATACGATTTTTTTACAAAGCCGTTCAGTTCGCTAAAGTTAGTATCGGATGTTTTGATTTAATCGATGAGAAAACACTACAAATTAATTTGGTAATAGGTATTGATTTGATTCTGATTCTGTCTTCCCTAACTTCCTGTATTTTAAGATTCATTTTTCATCCTAGACTTTTTATCCTATCCTTCTCTTAAACCTAATCATAACACAGTCACCACTCTGCTTCGCATTGTCATTCACATTATTACCCGAAATTCCACTTTTTAACCCTGACCTACTTAAATCGAACCCGTCTTCCGTTTTCCCAACTTGGTCCATACACAGAAAAATCAGCTTTCACAGCTTCCTTTACCCCAACTCCCCCCGTTGAACTATAAACATTTCTTATAGGATGTGCATAACTGCAGCACACAATTGCTACAAAATTCGTATCATCCCACCCCGTGGGATAGAGAGAAAGAGCGAGAGACCGGGACCTGCTCAACGACAACGACGACGAATCATACGACCCCACCGCCAAAGAAATCGCGAATTTTTTGATAATTATAGAATCGAGCCGCAACCAACAACTCTCGGCATGACATAACGTAGGATACAATTTCATCGTCGTTGGCGGATAGCTACTGCTGGCTGCCCTTTACCGGCGATTTTGTGACATTTTGGCATTTAGACGAATAGGTATGACGACCGGAAAAGGGACCCTCTTCTTTCGCTGCGCTCTGCCGCGTTGATATTCAGAACTACCTACATGCACATCCCGTTGCGACGAAGCTCCAGTTCACCAGTCGCAAAGAGCAGGGGGGGGGGGGGGGTGTGCGAATGTTACCGAATTTGGATCCCATCCACACCTGCAGTCAAGCGAGTCCGGACTCCGGCGGAGATGCGATGCGAGTGTGCTTGCTATAAGGGAAGGGTTGCCAGTTGGGTTGTGAAAAATTGACCACTTTGTTAGTTCAAAGTTCGAGTGGTAGTAAACGTTATTTCAACTGAGGCTTGAATAAAGTGGTTAATTGACCACTTTGTCAAGCTATTTTTTTATGAAACGCACAAATGTTGCCTACTTTTCTCGAGGTTCTAGAAGAAAAAATCTCAAAATAATGTTTTATTTCAAAGTTCGAGTGGTAGTAAACGTCATTTTAAGTGCTCGAATAAAATGGTTAATTGTTTTTTTTTTTCGAGCAGTTCAAGGTGAACAATGCATTAGGTCCTAAATAACATTGACAGATTATCTTCGTCGACTTTCTCTTTGCATCCTCACGATTATGTTATGACATTCCCAGCTATTTCCAGCACACAGATCGATGGTATTGTCTAGCTTCTAATACGACAACCACGACAAGAAACGGTTCTGTAGCCAAGTTATTGACGAAAGAGAAAGTCGATGAAGAGAAGCTATCAATGTTACTAGGACCTAATGCTTGAATTTTGGTAAATATGATGAATTTAAAAAAAAATGCGCGGCCTATAATCCTGTGGCGTTCCGCAACCTCACTTTTTACCTATGCACCAACTTTCAAAACCAGGTTTAATGCCATATTCATACTCGATTCGGTTGAAAATAAGACTTAATCTTCTAGTTTACTCGATATCTATCCATTGCTAGGAATATTTTGATAATTGTTTATGTTTTGAGAGTTGGTGCACAGGTAGATTGAGGTTAAGGACCACTTTGTCAATCAATTTTGGCGTGACTTTCTACCATCGATTTTACAAAACTGGACCAACAAATTACTTTTTGAAAAGCGCAAATTTTGCCTACTTTTCTGGTGGTTCTAGAAGAAAAAATCTCAAAATATTGTTCCAGTGGTTGGAAACGTCATTTATACTACTCGAATGAAGTGGTTAATTTTATAGAAAGCAATATCAGCAATGTTGTTCTGCTATCCCAATACACATTAATGGGGGGTGAGCAATATCCTGAAGGATCAGATCAATGACAGTTAATTCGAGCAGTTTAAAATGACATTTCCCAAAATCCACTCGAACTTTATTTTGGAGCAATATTCGAGTAAAGGGAATTTAAATTATTATAGGATTAAAATATCTGCAATCAATCATATTTTCGAGCAGTTTTTCGACGATGTTCTACCAGCGATTGTGTGAAAATATATTTTCTCGGGGTTCTAGAAGAAAAACATATCAAAATATTATTTCATGGGAAAGTTTGAGTGCTAGAAAACGAGCAGTTTATCGAATGATATGATCCATTTATTGCCTCATTTTCTAAAAATCTTTGGTAGAAAGTCGTTTAAAAACTGCTCGATGTGATTAATTACCCAAGGGCATGAAGAATATAGTTAATAAAGACGGCCGTAGAATCAAACTCAAATTTGGGTTCCGGCTACTCAGATTCGCAGAAATCAGGGTTACTCATAAACTGAGTAAAAATTTGTGTTAGAATTAGAGTAAATGTAACTCATATTGGTAAAATTGTTGATTTTTGTTCAGTTCATGAGTAACCGTGGTTTTAGCGAAAGTTTATTAATGGAACGTAAGCTTTGATGCTATGGCCGTGTAGAGGAAGAACAGCGCTTATGTCGCTGTCGAAATATTGTTTGCTTTCCCATGTAGGCATACAACTGTCAACGCGAGAAAAAAACAGAATAGTTTGACAGTTCGTCTACCTCTGTAGCACCCACTAGCGACAATCGATTTTACTCTCGTTCTGTACGTTAAATATAGTGTCGGATGTAGTGCGTTGTAATCGCACAATGATGCACTGTACAGCGCACTACTTCCAACATTATGTTCAATGTACAGAACGATAGTTAAATCGATTGTCGCTAGTGGGTTATTCCGGTTTTCAACTGTATCGATAATATGAAGAATTATGACGCGAACAGACAAACGTTAGACCATTTAAATGGACCACTTTGTCAAGCAGTTTAGACGTGATGTTGTACCAGCGATTTCACAAAACTGGACCAACAAAATACTTTTTTTAAGGTCACAAATGTTTGCTTTTTTTCTCGTGGTTCAAGAAAATAAAATCACAAAATATTGTTTTATTTTGAAGTTTTAGTGATATTAAACGTCATTTTGAGATGCTGGAATGAAGTGGTTAGTTTAAAAATTATGGAACATCGATAGAAAAACAACCACCAATATTGATTCAGTTTAAAAAAAATCTTCTGTAACCTCTTTTGCATAAGTTACAAACATCATAAACTGCTTCAATTCAAAATTTTAGTGAATGTTAATGAACATAACTTTTAACTTCACAAACAAAATGATCCATTGTTTGAGATGGATGCAAATAACATCAATTTTCAGTTTCAGTTTCAGTAATTTGCAGTGGCGTCCCGTAACCTCACTTTTTACCTGTGCACCAACTTTCAAAACCAGATTTAATGCTATATTCATACTCGAATCGGTTGAAAAATACACTTAATCTTCTAGTTTATTCGATATCTATCCATTGCAAGCAATATTTTTGATAATTGTTTATGTTTTGAGAGTTGGTGCACAGGTAGATTGAGGTTAAAGAAACGCCACTAGTAATTTGGAGAACATACTATAGCCGGGTATTTCGTATTATGAGCAGCGTTTTAACTAAATAAAAACTGCTCGACATGTACCTACGACCATTGCTTGATAATGATTATGACATATATAATCATACAAAACAATTCATAATTAGATTTCCAAACGCTCGAACAATATTAATAATTCTTCGAAAACTTCTGTCAAATTTAAACATAAATTAATTTTCTCGAGCAATTAGGACTAGAATAAGTCGGTGGAACACTGCATTGAAATGCAGTTCAGTTAACGAATGCTGTTAAAAGTCAACATCCTAAGTAACCATTCTGGTTTTATGAGGGTTCTGTAGACTTGTAGAACGCTTTAAAACCTCGATAAAACTTGCAATGTTGCTTGGGATGTTTCTGCTTGTGAACGTTGATCGTATTCGGAAATGTTTTCAATGATTCAATGCGAAAATTGTTGAAGATAATCGATTAACGTACATTGGACCTTTTGAATAGACCCAGAAATCCGAAAGGTATCGTTGGTCTCAAGTTTTTTTCAAAACCTTTGAAAGTTTGAACGTCTGCACGCTTTCTACCCACATAAAATAGGCTTCAGTGGTGCCACGCCCAAGTAACCAACAAGCCCGCTAATAGCCCTTTCTGTAAATGAAAGCTGATATTCGGCTGGTAGGGGAAATGGATGTAATGTCGGCCTAAATGTCCCTAATTTGGGTCCATACATAAATTCAGCAATCGACTATATTTTCAATAGCGACCAAAAATATCCATTAGTACCGTCCCAATGACGCGTTCATCTAGATAAAATTGATAAATAGCAGATTTTTAGCAATGGGCCCAATCTTAGATCCGTAGGCCAACAATAGAGCAATTTCCCCTATAGTCTGCAAAAAATCTATATGTTTTGTTTCAAAACAGCTAAATATACGCCTTAATGTAGGCATTTAGCAACAGATTTTCACATTAAGGCTAAATTTACTTTGATGCATTTTCGAAAAATTCAAAAACTTTTTTTTTTTTCGATGCATCATTTCAGATTGCAAGAAGCTTGCGTCATTCTATTTCTTTTGCTATTTTATACAAAATAATGCGAGGTTTGAGTAATCAAAAAAATGCGTCGAAAAAAATCGCTTTTGAATTTTTCGAAAATGCATCAAAGTAAATGGAGCCTTAAATCGGATATACGATTCAAAAAAGATCAATTTCTTTTTTTTTTCCGAAGAAATCTTGATAACAACATCTTAAGATTCAGATTCAGCGACCCAAAAATCGGTAAACTGAGTTATTTCGCCGATCAGTTGGTTTGCGAAAATCAGCGGATTTTGTAGAAAATAAATAGAGTAAATAGAGTTTCCATTGTTATGCAAAGCTAAACAAATCTGGAATGTATTGTTTCATTTTCTTAAAATCGCTGCTAGATGGCAGACCTAAAACTGCTCGACAATATGATTAATTGATAACAGATTTCCGGATACAATCGTTCATAAGGTATGAAAATGATTTGGATTTTACGTTCAAATCCAGCCAAAAATTAGTCAGGTATGCCATTGTGCCAAATAGAGTACCAGAAGGAACGTTCAATTTATGATAGGATGTTAAGGAACAGTACAAACTTACACATTGCAACAATTTATCAAAATTCAACATGTATAGCTGTATAAAATCGAAGCAAAGGTATTGTTCAAAGCTGCATTGCAGTCATAGCATTATCACGTTGAAATGTTTGTATGTAGACATTATTCTTCGGAGTCTTCCACCCGACCTTTGGCAACCCTTCCACAGTCCCGGAGACTATCGCATCGCAGCAGCGCAAACATCAACATCAACAGCAGCAGCAGCAGCAAAAGCGATCTCTTGACTCTTGCAAGAACCAGCAGCAGCAGCAGCAGCAGCAGTAGCATGCTGTCTCGTTCGCCCGTTTTTGCGGATTTTTTGCTCCAATAGATTTCGGGGGCCCTCCGCCGTCGTCGTTGTCGCTGAAATTGTACACACGACACATCGATGGATGAAAACTGCGACATCTCGAAATACTTTTTTTTTGCATTGCTTCAGCAGGTCCTCTCTATCTCGCTCGCTCCTCGCTCGTTTACTGCCAATATTAAATGCTGTCAAACCACTAAGGTACTACCCTCCTCCGAGTGTGTGCTTTTAGAGGTCACTCTTGTGCTGCTGCTGAGCCTGTTAGGCCCCCACAGAAGGCTCCCTCCAAAGCAAAGGAAGACCCCGACCCCCCCGAGGAACGACAGTAGCAGCAGTAGTGTTTACGCTTCGAATCCAGCTGCTTCTTCCAACATGAAAAATGCACAATCACCACTCACGGACTTACTACGGACCAAGACGAGGGGGGTTCCTATTGGAACTTGTTTTCTCTTTTCTATGCTTCACCTCACCACTCACGAAAACACCACCGATTCCGAAATGCCAGGGATTCCGATTGGAACACTGACCGACTGGGGGGATTTGCACTAGGATCTTTTCCCTATCTGTTTTGATGGTTTTTCCGACAGCTCTTTCGCTTCACACACTCCGCGGGTGCTATTTTAGGGCACTACTTTTTTCCGATTGCAACTTTTTCCCTTTCAATTCGCACGAATTCCGTGTGACACGAGATTCGCAAGTAACTGCACACCGAGACGCGGAGAAGAACTCGCAATGTCGATCTAGGAGTAGGCGAAAGCGTAGAAGTTGATTCCTTTTTTCACGAACGCACCCCGACAGGATTCCCTGTTTTGTGTACTGAGCACTGACCGACTGGACTTGGAATCCAATGCTTCTTCTGGGAGGACGATGGTCACTCGCGACTTTTCTTCAGAATGTTTTCGCTGCTCTAAGAACAGTAGTAAACCACAACTAGAACTCTTGCTGGTCGCGTTTCGATCCGATACACACACGCACGGGGAAAATCCGGAGCCCTGCCAAAAGAACGCACCGCTCTTATTGCTGGCTATATGTGTGGAAGAAAAACGCGAACGCGACGACGACGACAACGAGCTGCTAAAAAGTTATTTTTCCTTCTTTTTGCCTTTTTTCGGTGTCTCTCTGGTAGAGCTGCTAACGATGCCTGGTCGATCTACTGTCCCGTTCGTTCTAATTGGAACTCGCCTATAAGGTGTTTTCCTCCTACACCGCAGTAGCAGCGCAGCAGCCAGCAGCCCAAGGTGCGAGTGATTATTGTTATAGTGCCATCCCGCTCCCACGCACTGTACCATCTGTCAAAAAATGTTTCACTGCTCCGCACCGAAGGATTCGCCCGGGTGCCCAACCACCTTGCTCCACCACCCCCAGCCCACCCACATTTCCCGAGCGTATGAGGGCGAACTAGGGTGACCAACATTACGGGGGTAGGAAGGTTGTAAGAACATTATTTGTTGGACGCATTATCATCATGGGCGGAGAAAACAAAATGCAATTAATCATGTTTTGTTGTTTTTGACATCATCCACATCCAGAGGGCCAGTCACTTTCGAATGTATGGGAATGGTAGGAAACCATTTGAAAATGCATGAAAATTTTCAGTTTTTATTCATTATCGTCTTTATGGGCAGTTTTAGATGCACAAAAAATGCACGAGTACATTACTATGGTGATAAGGTAAACACTCGTTTATTTGTTTTCTTCTGTGAAAGCATGTTTAGTCACAAATCGTGGATTTTCTGATATTTTCCATACTGCAAAAATGATTTTCCTACCACTGAAGGGGCGACATCTATCGGATCTTCTACTCAAATCATATAATTAATTCGGCAGCAGGGTTTTCAATTAACTTGCAACCCTTGCCAGAAGGTAGCGTTTCACATTACTTTTCTTTTCGATTCTTTGTACGTGCAAAATAATAATTGAGTGTATCGCAATATTCTGCGCATTTCTTGATGCCATTAATTAACCAATAAAGATCAATTAAGCAATAGAGTTAGAATCAAGGGGCCAGACAACATCAATTTATCTTGATATATTTCCAATATTTAGATATATTCACGTTAAGGTGATATTATTCTAGCACTCTAATACCAAATTTCTGCTTTGACAGTTCAAACACCGACGAAGTTCAAATCGCGCAATTGAATCAATTTAAACAGCAGAAATGAAAACTAAGATCGATCGACGATAGTTCCGTCTACAATCTGAGTTCCAGTTGGTTCAAGGTGTGTCATTGAATAAGTGTATTAAGTGGAAGATAGTTTCAAATCAAACGTGCATTGGTGACGTACTAGATGGGATCTCCCTAATGGTCCCCTGACCTATGATCTAGCCTTACGGAGTTTGCTTAGAGTATAGCCCAATAACATTTTCAGCTTTGTAAGCCAACTTTTGCAGTGTTGTACTGTAAAGTAGCTGAAAAAAAGCTGCAGATACAGCTACAAACAGAATCTAGCAAAATTGTTTACTCAACTTTTTCACAACCATTATTCAATTTACCAGCCTCACTGAATAACAACAACTAATGTCACTTTTGTACACATCCTAATCAACTTTCAGCTTGTAGCTACAAAACATAGCTAATAAAGTGAATATATCACTCATTTGATGGCTTCTACACAATCAACCACTCTTGCTGAATAACATAACCATCACAAGTGTTTTTTCAACAACTCCCGAATAGAAATTTACATTAGCCCAACGTTTGATTTTGATGTCTACATCAGCATCGAAATCAAATGTATGCCTGATGTCAAACATTAGGAAACATTATGATTTAGTTGTATTTAAGCAACGTAACATAGTGTATACATCAGAAATTTTGGAACAAAATTTTGCCATTCTAATGTCGGTCTGACGTCAAAAATTTCAATCTATTGACATTAGAACCAAACGTTTTAAGGATGTTTTCAGATGTACAAAACGTTAGAACTAAACGTTGTTCGGATGTTTTTATATGTAAATATATTCTGATGTTTTCTAACGTAGATGCCTCCCGATGCTGGAACCAAACTTTTTTGGATGTTTTCGGATGTACACAACGTTAGAACTAAACGTTGCTCGGATGTTTTCAATTGTACTTCGTGTTTGTTGTTCTCTGATGTTTTCAGATGTACAAAACGTTTAAAGTAAACGTTGTTTGAATGTTTTCAAATGTAGATGTTTACTAATGTTTTTAGATATATAAAACACTAGAATCTTACTTTTCAAATGCTTTCAATTATATTTACAACACATTAGAATTAGAAACATGATCGTGTAAACACTACACACCATTGTTGTTAGATTACATCATAAAAATGCGTACATAACAGTCAATGCTGAAGCTCCCGTTTCCCACCAGTCAGTTAACTGACCTTAGCTAACCTAATATCATTGCGGCAACTCTCTATGCGGCAGGGGAACTATGCCATTAGCGCGCTAAGAGTTGTTAGACCACTGACATAGGCGTCAAGTGATGAAGTTTGATTCTAATGTAACGTTAGGTTCTGTTGTCATTGGATGTATTCTGATGTTTTATGCGTGCAACAAATTACATCGTGATGATGTTTGATTCTAATGTAACGTTAGGGTCTGTTGTCATTGGATGTATTCTGATGTTTTATGCGTGCAACAAATTACATCGTGATGATGTTTGATTCTAATGCAGCGTTAGGTTCTGTTGTCATTGGATGTATTCTGATGTCAAATTTTACATCGTCAAGACGTTTGATTCTGATGTAACGTTTGAGGCTAATGTATTTTTATGTACTTGGACGTCACACTGAAGTCTGAATACATTAAGGTTACAGCAATACACGTTAAAATTTAATGTATTGAAGATGTCTGCTGATGTTTCCTACATTACAATTTCTATTCGGGTAAACAACCTGTACTCAGCCCATAAACTGTGTTAGCGCTACTTTACAAAGGTGAAGTAACTAGTCGAGAAAAGTGAGTCATGTGCACTGTTATAAAGCCTCTACTCAACGATTTTGTTGTAGAAGGGCATGTTGATTTTTTTTACATCAGTTCAAAGTGTTAGCGTAGCACAGTTGGTAGTGTGAAAGATTGCCAAATGTGGTCGTCTCGAGTTCGATTCCAGATTCCGGTGCAGGGTAAATAATTTGGTGGTGTTGCTTGTAAATAATTTGGATTAATTTGATTTACAGCAAAATATAAACTAAATCAATACCTCCATTAAAAAATAACGTAAACAATATTCATCCCGGCTTCAAGACAAAGCTGTGTAGTGATTATTGGATAACCGTTAAAAGGTTGAATAAGCGCCTTTCAAGTCCACACACAACTAAACAGCAGGATAACAGCTGTATAGAAGCGTTAAATGGATATGCAATAAGAGCTTGTCCCAACAGTCCTGTGTGGCATATATTAGCGCTAGTGTAAGCAGGTCTTAACTTGACGCTTAACGAGTCAGCAAGCCATGTGTGCAGCCCTCCGTTGTAAGCGCAACAGTTCAATGCTGGTAAACAGAGGTACTATGCCAACACTTCATAAACACACACGGGCAACTCTCCACTCACTTTCGGACCAGCTCTTCACAAGGTAAGTTGCACAAGTCCCAACAGCAATAAGTAGCTGACTAAGTATAGAGATTGAGTAAAAGTTTCCTCATATCGTATAATGTTTGAATACAGCTTGAGGCTGTATAAATGAAAGGAGTTAAGCATATACATTGTGAAAATTGTTAGTTGGGAGGCTACAATCGAGTCTGTTGACGGCTACCTCAAAAATATTACAAAACGAATATAGATTAAATTTTATGCATTTTGTGGTTTTTAAAAATGTCTACATTGGTTCGATTAAAATTTTTGCCAAAATTATACTAAGTCCGAATAACGGAGTGGAATTCGATCAGTGTTTACTAACATGATAGGAAAAAGAACATCTGGATTCTCTTCGGAGCTTCGTGCTGATGAAGAGCTTCGTCCTGGCGGATTTCTACTGCACCTGTTATCTGCTGGGCAGCTAAGTAGAATGCGTGAGCACGAGTTCATCCTAATGAACATCGAAATTGTAAGTATTTTTTAAATAATATTCATAAAAAATAAAATTATTAAAAACCTTCCTGGGACAATTTTTGTTTTTATTTGTAAACAATAATATTTACCATAAATAAAATAAATAAGCAAAAATACATTCTCTCGAATAAACCGTATCTATGCATTGTAAGTATATTTCGATTTTATACTATGGCACGCATAAACCATTTTTATACTAAGTTTGCATTCTCTCCCTTTATACCGACCTTTGCGTCGGCACGGAGAGTTGTGATTTAGCGTAACTTTTATAGAGCTTTTTGACGTTTAATCGGCGCACACTAATGCACCATTTCAAATGAAGGAGTGCGAGCAAGAAGGAAACAAATTAGTGGGAAAACAAATCATCCATTTGTCCCTGTGTTCTAGATAGAGAAAGACGATTGAACGTCAAAAAGGTCTATACTGTTTACACTGATAAATTAAACTATTCCCATTTTGCTTGAAATTTAATCAATTTGACATTAAACTCAGTTTAATATGGTTTAATCATATCGAATGTTAAAAATTAATACTCTCTTTCTAAAAAATAAGCATCTGATATTAATCCCAGTTTAGTCCGAGGGGGACGACTCTATCTACGATGCAGAAAAGATTGTGTTTTGCTATGGCTAGCTGCACGCACGCTGAGTAGATAGAAGGAAGGTTTATGTCGTAGATGCGAGAAATGAAAGATGATTTTTCGAAGATTGATTCGCTAGTGTGAGATTTTTTGAGCATCTAGAATTGAGATTTAGATGTGTCGCCCCCCTCGGTTTAGTCATGGTTGATAAGATTGCAGATTATCATTTTTGAATAAATTTAATCCATTTTGGATTCTAAGATAATAATTTTTGATTGAATTTTCATCTTTTTTGATTAAACATCAGTATTGGAAAAAGAATAAAATTTAATGCTGGAAAGATTATTTCGAATTTAATCATGCATGACTACTGCCGAAGTAATCATGGCTCGGACTCAATAAGCTCGAGCGGGAATCTGCATACTTTTGAAGCTTTTTTTATTTAATTTATCTTTTGAGTGTAGATTTCAATATTTTTTTAGTGTAGCTTTCGCTTGAGACCCCGTACACTGAACGAAAACATCCCCAATTTTTCGAATGATTATTGTATTGTTCGTGCCCTTTAACAATATGCT